CTTTGATTCGTCAAAGGAAAAGAAAGATAGAGAATTGCAAATACAATTCAGACATAAAGGGAAGAATTGACAGAGAAGAAAATGCAAGGAGGCTCACAAAAGAAAGAAATAGAACCAGAGGAAGAAGCTGCACAGCTAGGGCTTTTTCCCACCATGCATAAGAGAAAAATAATAACATTAATTTCGATTGCCTCTTTTTTGAATGAGAATGCATAAATTTGGAGCAAGAAGGCAAATCAACCACTGTACTCTTTGTTTAAGGGCTGTTTAACGGGGGAAACTTACCTTAAAAATTTTTCTAATTTTTTTTTTCAATTTAATGTTATTTATATATTTTTACATAATAATAATAATAAAAAGAGGGTAAAATTGATATTTTTAGTTTTTATTTTTTTCAATATAATTTTTAACTTGTAAACAATAACAGTAATGTAATACCTAATTGATAATTTTCTTACCAACTTTACATATACTCCTTTCTTATAGAAAAGTTATAATAATTCAATAAAATTTTAACAAAATTTCACTATAAAATGTATTAAATTTTTATATAATTTTTTTTATTTTTTTAATACAAATTTTCTTAACAAAATTAATTCTCTAACCAAACATACCTTTGTTGGCAAATTAGGCCCTTAACTAAAGAAAGTGCAAAATGACCCCTTACACTCGTTAAATGATGGCATATTAACCCTTAACCAACATTTTCCGTCAAAACGCAACGGAGCGCTACTTGGAGTGGGTTCCACTGCTGAGCATGATCCTGATGTGGCATGACATTGTTAAGTTTAATAAATTCTAAAACAAAGATACTTACCTCCCATCGACTAAAAAAAAAAAATTGCTTACCTTAAATTGTTTTTTCTTTTTATTAACTCTTATTAAATCTCGATTAATTTTGTGTTAAGTCAATATTAGATTTTATAAAATAAAAACTTTCTTAACATATTTTTTTGTATTTACAATATTCTGTTAATTGGTTGCTTTCCTTTAATTGTTAGTAAAGTAAAAAAAAAAAATCTAAAAAGTAAAAGAATGCATACTTATTTTTTTAATTAATGAATATAAAAAAATAAAAATAAATTTTCATAATAATATATTTATAATAATATTACGTAAAATTCTAAATTTATTTTTATTTTAAAGACTCATATATATAATACAAATTTTTGAATAAAAAAATAAATTATATAATTATATACTTATATCAATGACATAATTTTATAATTTTATGTTGTATTATACTTATGTTTAAATATTTTCTCTCTCCTACATTTCTCTCTCATCTTTTGTCTCCTTCTTTCCAAAGCCGTTATCCTGGTTAGTTTCTACGATTATTCTGTCTATCATTTA